GCCCCAGACAGCATAGCTCCTTGGATCATTGGGACACTCAAACCCCTCCACCACGATAAGGTAGCAGCCCAAGGAGAGGACATTAATAAAATGTGTTGCATTAATGCCTGTTATGTCATACATAGATGCATTATGTTGGGTCAAATGTGGTAGATTTAAAAAAACTGAATCTGCATTGAATGCTATTTTTAGAATGGAGTTGTCTCGCTAATAGACTGCACTCTGATGGAGGACCCTGAGGGAACAGATGATGAATGTAAGTGTTTGCAACAGTTTGCATTATATGCACCATGTATGAAGCTTTACRTAACATTCAGCATTAACAGTGCATATTTGAGTGTTAAAATTGTGTAATTAGTCATTTGAAAATGAAATCAGGCTGCAGCAAAAAACAAATTACCAAGTAAAATGGGGCGCTACCTCTTCCTAAGAGGTAATTGTTTAAAAAAAATTATCCCGATCTTCAGCTAAATTTAATGAATTTGTCTTTTGTCCTTGCTTTTTCAATTTCACTAAGGTTCACAAATTTTGCCCTCATAATTTAGTGTAATCTTGCTGACAAACAGACAAAGATAAGGCTTTGGAAACCTTTGGCTTGAGCTTTGAAGAAGAGCTTTAAAAAGATGTTATAATATTTTGACGGCTGTTTTTACCATTATTTTCTTTCTTTTTTACTGTCCTTTGAATTTTACATTACATAGGCGATTAAAGCTGTGACAGAAATGATGTTTTATCTTTGTGCTGACCTCAAAGCTAAGTCAGACAAGAGTGGCCAGGACATGGAGCACCTGGACTTCAAGATCGTCGTGGAGCCAAAGGACAGCCAGTCATTCACCATCATCCTGGTGGCCTCCTCCAGGCAGGAGAAGTCTGCCTGGACCAGTGACATCAGCCAGGCACGTCAACACGCATCACAGTCTCCAGCAGCGAGGCGACTTCAGCCTTCATATTACAGAACTCGCTATTATTCCCCCCCGTCTTATCTGTGTATTTTACCGTCTGTGTCCTGCAGTGCATAGACAACATCCGCTGCAATGGCCTCATGATGAACGCCTTTGAGGACAACTCCAAAGTCACAGTGCCACAGATGATCAAGTGAGAAATGTTTATTCCCATGCATGTGTCTTCTCCTCCTTCCAGTCTGGTTTTTTTCCACCTCTGATTTTTTGCGTTTTTGCCCACAGATCAGATTCAAGTCTGTACTGCGATGATGTGGACATCCGCTTCAGTAAGATGATGAATTCCTGCAAAGTGCTGCAGATCCGCTACGCCAGCGTCGAACGTCTGCTGGAGAGGCTGACCGACCTCCGTTTCCTCTCCATCGACTTCCTCAACACCTTCCTCCACTCCTACCGTGTGTTCACCACAGCTGACGTGGTGCTGGATAAACTCATCACTATCTACAAGAAGCCCATCAGTGCTATCCCTGCTCGGTGAGTCGCGCTTGCATCTGGACAGACGGCCATGTGGCAAAGTTGCTGACAGCACTGTAGATACATATCATTTTACCATAAAACACTGATGTTTTGATCAAGTGACAATCTTAGAATGTTGGCAAATAAAGCAGATGTGGAGGTGTAAAAACTATTATCATTTTATAGTAAATATTTTCCTTTATGAACTGTACAGCAAGGGTCTTCAACATTTTTCAGTCTGGGACCCCCAAACTGATGGGGAGACAGAGCAAAGACCCATTAGGTCAGGCTGTAAGTGAAGCTGGTGTGCCCGCTGAATGTGTGTATTTCTGAATGAAGTACATTATTTTATGCCTACATTTTCCAATAACATGTTGGATTCATGTTAATGTGTGTTTAAATACATAGTTTTGGAAATGTATAAAAAAGGTCTAATTAACCAAAGTTTTCACATCCCCCATGCTGTACATTTATGACCCCATTGTTAAAGACCCCTGCTGTCCAGTATTTATTGTTTAAATTGTAAGTTTAAAACAAAAGTTCAGGTTTCATAAAGTGAGGTTCTGTGGAAATGTATCTCACCTGTTGTAGATGTTTTTTTAAACAACCTCGAAGGTGGATAGCTCTAATCCCAAAAGATTTTGAATGTAGTTCTCGAGAATGCTATAAGCATTGCATGAAATGTTTATTTACATAAAGTGATTTGGGTCTTTCCCACCACAAAGAGAAGAGTGGTAGCAGCAACTAGCTTCGGACCTATACAGACCGAAGCTGGAGTTACACTCTGCGAGAAGTAAAGAAACCTGGACGAAAGGACTCCAATGTAGTAGTCGTCCCACTTTTAGACATAAACACGCACAAAACAAAGTTCTGACCAATCACACAGTTGTTGACACATCCCCCCGAGAAAAAAAAAGTTCCACTTGGACGCTGTGCTGAGAATGAGCTCTCAGAGCTGAGCAAAATGACATAATTTGTGTTATACAACTTTGTCAGCGAGAGCAGATTTCATCAGTTCCTGTGGAGTATTTTAAGCCAGGATGGATTGCTGCCGTTTTTAAGAAACTTCAGGAAACAAAATTCATATTGATTTCTGTGAATGTTATTTTATAAAACTTCACCCCTCCGACAGTTTTGCATTACTCAGTTATTCCTGCAGAAATAATACGACTATGCTACAGGAAGTGTTCCAGGCTGCACTAAATGGGACGTTAGCTCATCAGGCCGATGAATTAAACTCTGTTTCTCCAAAATGAGGTCTATGAAAAAGTTATCCTCACCAAGTGAGATATCAGTTGCTTGTAACATGTCACAGAGACCCACTTCATAGAATCTATCCATTTAATTTATACATGATAAATTAAATCTTCTTTAATTTAATAAACTAAAGATGGTAATTATCAAATAAAATCAAAGTCTTTACATTCCAGATTCTTATATCTCAGTTGATCCCCTAAATTCACAAGTTATTTTGAAGCTTTATGTGTGTTTAAAATGGTTTATCTTGGTGATAAATATACACACAAGGAAGCAGAAAATAACACTCTGTTCTATGTTGCTTCAGTGCCACTGTGTGTCCATGCATGTGTGCTGATTTATTTATATTTTTCCTGGCTGATAGCGGTAATTGGGTTCAGTTCCTTCTGTGTTAGTTTGGAGCGTCTAAACTGAGATGCATCGCTCTATGGCAACCAAACTCAGTGCTGCAAGACCCCACCCTCCCCTCCTTTCCCTTTTTCTCCTTGTTTGCAGAAGATCCATAGTGTGAAATATAGACAGAGCGTTGCATTGTGGGCTTCCTCACTGCGCCACATGCCCAAAGTGAGAGCCCAACAGTGTGGGGATCAGATCGRGGAGAGCTCCCCGTGTCCACACCCTGCAGTATGCTTTCCCACGGCGCTTGTAATGTCACTGCGAGACACCTACACTTGGCTGCTTGTGTCAGCAGTGGCCATGCGCACTATCACTCGCTGTGCTATTTATGGGAACCCGTGAGGTCGGCAGGAGGGTGGCAGGGAGTGGGAGAGGTTTGCTGAAACGCTGCAGTCTGTATCCTGCTCGAAAACGTCGAGACATGGCTGTTGAGCAAAAAAATAAATAAAAATCTGATTTCACGTTCTGCATGAATTATTCAGGAGATGCTGTTTGTTCGGCTAAGCCTTTTATTTCAAACAAACATATTTTCAAAATATCAAAGAAACATTTTCCTTTGTGCTAAAATCAAATGTGTATAACTCACTTGACGTAGGTCCCTGGAGCTGTTCTTCGCCAGCAGTCAGAACAGTAAACTCCTATACGGGGAGCCTCCCAGCTCTCCCAGGGCTAGCCGAAAGTTTTCCTCCCCTCCTCCTCTGGCCATCGCCAAGAACTCATCCCCCAACCGCCGCCGCAAGCTCTCCCTCAACATCCCCATCATCACTGGGGGCAAAGCTCTTGACCTGGCTGCCCTCAGCTGCTCCTCGAATGGCTATGCAAGCATGTACTCCTCCATGTCCCCGTTCAGCAAGACCACGTTGGACATCAACAAGCTCTACGTGTCCAGCCCCATCGCTAGCAAGATCTCTGATGAGGGCGAGGACAAAAAGGACAAGGTGGAGGAGACCTCCRTGTGCAAACAAGGTTGGTCAGCAATTTAAGTGAAACATTTTTAGCCATTAAATACATTTAGTTGTGTACTTGGAGTGTCTAGGAGTGCAGAAAAGTTGAATTTAGTCTCTTTTGATGCTGCATTTGTATCTTTATATTCTGTCTGGGTCATATTTTTCAACCTGTTCAGTTTTCTATAGCATTTTCTAAACTATTACGACAAAAAAATGCATCAGAACTTCTCTAAATAATGTCTGGACTTACCAACTACAATTTGGTTATCTTCGTTCTCCTCTGGCTCTGGGTCAGACTCTTTGTAAATAAAATGTTTCTGTGCCACTATGTAGTCGTTAACCCCTCTGTCAAACTAGAATGGATCACAGGAAAGCTGGTGGAGTGCGATGCTCCRCGTTTGGCTTTAAAGAGATCACATCAAAAAGATTTGATCTGAGACACACCCCAGAAAAAGGGTGCAGTTCCACTTTATATAGACCCCAACTGAATGATTTAAATGTGAAAAAGAAGGATTTAAAAGCATGATGATTTATCTCCTTCAACAGTTTACCTTGCTGTTATCAAAATCTCCAGTGACCAAGCTTTTCGCTAATTTCTCTTCGTTACGATGCAGATCTCTCCGTGAGAGAAGAAAGCGACAATGATCAAAACCAGAGCGATGAAGGCGAGCCAGAATCGTCTCCTACCAAGTCTCCAACCACGCCGAAAAACGTCAAATGCAAAAACTCCTCAGGTACATTTTGTCCTAAATGTGGAGAGTGATATAATCACAAATCAAGTGTTTGATAACCACGCATGTAGGCTGCACACTGACAAGCCACCTGTATCCAAGGCTCCCCCCCGGTGAGCCTTCGACACAGTTCAAGTTTACCTTACAGTCAGCATTAATCAGTTCTCACTAAAGCATATTTTACTTTTAATAGGTGGGAAATCTTTACTTTTTAAAGGAAAAACCAAGCCTCTCAATTAGCTATTGGTTGTAAGGCCCTGTATGTTATCCAAAGAAAGAGCTGAGAAGCTTTATATAAATCCATCTGTCCATGTTTATGAGCTTGTGGGGGAAACCAAAGCTCGGCTACAGTAGGTGTTTAGGAAACTTGTGTCATAGCAACTACATCAAGAGCGTGTTTTCCTTGCCGCCCCCAGTAATGAGCCTGTTTCACTGGTGCCAAGATTATTTTTCGCCCTCTAAATCTTTGCACGAAAATGCACAAAGGCTTTTTCGAGGCGAAAGCTGTGCAATAACACGCCGGTCGTGCGAAACTGTTGATCAGGGTGACAGATTTGTATCTGCTCGCGATCTGTGTTCCCAGGATTCAGAGACAGCACACAGAAGAGAATCTGTTGATTTCACTGTTATGCTGATATTCGGTGGCTATATTTAGCTGCACCCATCTTAAATATCAAAGCCTCTTGAAAAGGAAAGTCTGGAGGGAACTGATGGGTCTCTGGTGCTCCCTAGTGGAAGCTTGTGCCATGGAAAGCAGGCCATTCTGCAGTATATGCATATTAAGTTAAACCTAAAAAATGCTATTGAGCACAGGTTTATTAATGAAACTTTGAGTCATTTATGATTCGTCGATTCAGGCGTGACAAATGTTTCCTTTTCTCTAGAGTTTTCTTTGTTTTCCTACAACAACGGCATGGTCATGTCCTCGTGTCGAGAGCTCGACAACAACCGCAGCGCCCTGTCCGCTGCCTCCGCCTTCGCCATCGCTACAGCTGGAGCCAACGAGGGAACGCCAACCAAGGAGAAATATAGACGGATGTCCCTAGCCAGCACAGGTTTACACACCTACTTAGAGTCCAATGGCAGCTACATTAAAGCTTTACTTGCACTTCTTTGTAACTGAGCTGCCAAACTTTGAAAATAGTGTTTTGTGTTCTCCAGTTTTGGTTTACTCTTTGCTCATGGTTTCATTTTATTTCCTGCAGGTTTTCCAACAGATCAGAGAAATGGAGACAAAGAGTTTGTGATCAGACGAGCAGCGACCAACAGAGTCCTGAATGTGCTGAGGCACTGGGTGTCCAAACACTCACCGGTAAACATTAATTTACTGTACATAATGTTTAAAACTCAAGACTAGATCTGTTGATATGAACGCTGCCTTTGTATAAAGCTTAACTATCAGGGTTACACAAATTATTCCCAATAAATGTTGTCATTGCAGTTTCAATATGCACAATATGACTATGAGCTTTTTATATTTTAATGCATTCGTGTTGTGTATTCCAAAATTATGTTAGGCCAGTCTGATGGACTTTCAATATCTTTTATGTCTAAATTCAGTGTAAGTTGCAAAGACTGTCAGGTTAAGTTTTAAAAAGGTAGAATAAAGAGGACGTATGGGGAAAATAGTTTTATTATTGTCCATAGAAAGGATGTAAACATGAAAGAAAGACAACTCTGTGAGATATTTTATCATAACCATTGACAAAGTTTGCAAGGCTGCAAAAATTAACACAAATAGAGCTCAACTAATAGAAAAAGTTGTTTAATTGCAATCAGTACCGTGGAGATTCTCTATCCTTTAATGAGACACCTGTTTGTGTGTAATAATCTGTGCCACTTTAGGACTTTGAGAGCAACAATGAGCTGAAGACAAAAGTTATTGCCTTCCTGGAGGAAGTGATGCACGACCCCGAGCTGCTGACGCAGGAGAGAAAAGCAGCAGCGAACATCATCAGGTACTGTCAGGTGCTGCTCAGCTGTGGGATTAAAACGTGCTCAATCAGTGGACTATTTTCTGTCTTAGTTAGGTCACGCATCACTTAGATATGTCGATGGACAACTGAACTTTCTTTGTTTTACCTGTCTGTCAGGACTTTAACTCAGGAAGATCACGGTGACAACCAGATCACCATAGAAGATGTAACACAACTGGTGAGTGATGTTTTTGCATTTGTCACTTTTTTACTTTTTTATTTTTGTTAACTCCATGGGGATGCGGTTGATCAGTGGTCAGTGATAAGGTCTTACGATCGTGGGGCTGCAAATCTGAGCATCAGGAAGGGCATCTGGCATTAAACCAAATTATTTGTCCTGGTTTCAATATGGCTACCCCTGAAAAATGAAGTAACCAAAAGAACAACTTTAATCTTTTCCTTCCTTAGGCATGGATGCTCAATAATTTATATGTTTATAAAAATAATGTTAAGCAAAAAAATGACTTACTGCCATTCAGACTGTTCTTAGGCAGGACGTTTTCTTTGTTTCCTCTCATGGCAGTCCTGAAACCTAATATTGTTTTTGACCAAAACAGTTTTTTTTACTTTAAACTTTATCTTGTTTACCTTTCCTCTCACCTATTATATATCAGCTTTGGGGATTAAACTTTAGGATCATACTGGATTAAAAAAGCAACATAATATTGCATAATATTAAAATACACATACAGCCACATCATCCAGTATTTACCTTAACTAGCTCTCAAGTTGCTTTTGACACAAAAGCACAACAAATGCTTTTGTTGAGGCGCTTTGTTTTTTTATGACCCGACCGACTCAAACTGCATCTGTCTCACCTAATCTTCTGACTCTTTTGTGTCTCCTAGACTGGAGCGGGGAAGGCTGAGTCGTTCGAGAACCACTCTGCCTTGGAAATCGCAGAGCAGCTGACTTTGCTGGACCACCTGGTGTTTAAAGTCATCCCATACGAGTGAGTGGCAGCACACCTAGAACACACACTCATAAACTCTTCAAGCCAACCGTCCTTTTATTTTCCAACTTTTCAGGGAATTCTTTGGTCAAGGCTGGATGAAAAACGACAAAAATGAGAAAACACCGTACATCATGAGGACAACTAAGCATTTCAATGATGTAGGTTACGTTGGGAAAAATCGACACGATTCGAATATTAGGTGAAAACAATTTATTTTCCTTCTGCCCCCTCCTAGGTCAGCAACCTGATCGCCACAGAGATCCTTCGTTGCGACGACACGGCCACTCGGGTGACAGTCATAGAGAAGTGGGTCGCCGTGGCTGACATCTGCCGCTGTTTGCACAACTACAACGCCGTGCTGGAAATCACCTCCTCTCTAAACCGCAGCTCGGTTTTCCGCCTCAAGAAGACCTGGCTCAAGATTTCCAAGCAGGTGCCCGTCTCTGCRGACATCAGATCCGTTAGTTCCCTCTGCAGTGTTGGCACTAGTATAACTTCTTTTTTTTTCTTCGTCTTCTTCTTTTCCAGACAAGAGCATTAATTGACAAGCTGCAAAAGCTGGTGTCTTCAGAGGGGAGGTTCAAAAACCTTCGAGAGGCTTTGAAAAAGTGAGTTTTATTTAAGGGACAAAATGTTGAGGTGGAACGTCACAGAACACATGTAGTAGATTAGGGATAAACATGTTTTTGTTTCAGTTGCGACCCCCCCTGTGTGCCGTATTTGGGGATGTACCTCACGGACCTGGCTTTCATTGAGGAGGGAACGCCAAACTACACCGAAGACAACTTGGTTAACTTCTCAAAGATGAGGATGGTGAGGTGTTTTGTGATACTCTCTGTGAAAAAAAAGTTTGAAACTTAGAAGGTAACATGTTGGTTTTCCTTTTCTTTTTTTTTTCTTTTAGATTTCGCACATCATCAGAGAAATCAGGCAGTTTCAACAAACAGCGTATAAGATTGACCTGCAACCAAAGGTAAATCAGTGTTCAGACTGAAGACCACTGATTCTGGCTTTTTACATCTTAAATTTATTATTAGCATTAAATCAGTGTGCTTATTTTATTATTTATTATTGTTTTTTTAATTAGGTACTCTGAATGCATCAAGGCTGAGACAATGAGTGAATGATTGAATAAATAATTAAATGACGGATGGATGGACGATTCAAGCTGCACCTACTAGTGACCCCTTTCAGTATTATGAACATGCTTTATTGGCTTTAATCAAACAATAATTCCCTGTCTTTAAACAWTTTAAAAGAAAAAAGAAGAGCTTTCTATTGGTTCACAGTAAAATAAAAATATTTGAGAAAATATAATTTATGAACAATACTTTGAAATTTGTTACATTTGTGTTGTGATAAGCTAGTAGAACGAAACAATCACAATAGGCTGACAAAACAAGATCTCCTACCCACCAATAAAATAAGTCTGTTTTGAATATGGCACGGCAAACATAAAAGAGTGGGATTTAAACTCGGAACATTATACATTAACGTCCTTATGCATCTCAGTAGTTTTTTTAGTTATCCATTAACCTTTTTTTAGTATAAGCTTTCTAAACTGGTGAAATGACTTTAAAATGTCCAAACATGAGCTGCAACAATGGCCAGAGAGGTAATTTAAGGGTCAAGAAAAATGACTTTAAAGCTTCCTTTATGAACTTATTTAGCAGGAGAAATGAATGACCATTCTTTATGGCCTCAAAAATGATAACTCTGTCCTAAATTTTCATGTGTGAACATAAAAAACATGTATTATATGTTGACACTCACATGTTAAAACAAAAATAATATATGAGTGTTGGGATATGAGTGATTTTGAAAAAGTCAAAACATGATGTGTCAAAAACTGGGTAAAAGCCTCTCCATGTTCTTAGTTTACACTGACTAGTGTCAATCACACAAGAGACCTAATCTGACAATAAAATAATGCCAAAGACAGGACTTGGGAACCAAAGGTTGACTGTTGTGGTCTGATCCAATCAAGAAACAAAGTGAACATGCAGTAATTTTCAGGATCTGTGTTTTTGTTAGTCTTTTGTTAATAGTCTGTTGTTGTGTTGCTTAGTTCTGTTTACATCATCCCCTTTATCACCTTTTCTCATTTAGTTATCTGCTTCTCAGTGTTTTCTCCAGTCAACCTGCTATGACCATCTTCACCCTCCCTGCTCCCGTGTCACACAGCTGTAGCCACTTCCCTCATCAGTCCCAGCCTGTTTAATCTGTTGTTGTCCATCTTCACATGGTTCTCGTGCCACAGTCCGGTTTTTCGTGTTCTCCTGTGATTATTTGGGTTTTTGGCTGCCATGTCAACCTTTTGTTTTCACTTCGTAAATAGAAAGTGTTTATTGTTTTGAGTTGTGTCTGCATACTTGGGTCCAACTTTCTACAGGCCATGGTGACAGTGATGCTTTGGAGGCCCAGAACAAACATTTAGGTGATCAACATTCGCCAATAAAAGCAACGACTAAATTTTAAAAGAGGACATTGATTAAAAAAATGGAGCTCTGGTTTTGAGAGTCATTCACTGATGTGTTTTTAGTGYTGTATTACCTTTGTCTCAACACAAAAACACACATCTGCCTCTCCACATTTCTTCTGTTGCGTAAACTAAAAGATGCTATTGTTTTATACATCAGCAGGCTGGGACTTATTCACTGAAAAGAGCCTACAAAGTAATAGACCAGTTGAGGTGGATCAGTTTAGAAGCATAATTCTTAACGTTTTCTTCTTTTTTCTGCTTTTTTTTCCCAGGTAGCACAGTATTTACTAGACATGAGTTTTGTTCTCGATGAGGAAAGCTTGTACGAAGCCTCGCTCAGAATCGAGCCCAAAGTGTCCAACTGATGGGGAAGGTGGTGCTCCACACTTTGTTTTCTCTGTTAATATAACACATAAGTTGACATACACATTGACCATTGTATAGCTGTATATGTTTAAGATATTTGCTCTTCTGTACAGTAGATGTTTAAAGTTGTTTGATGACACAAAACATTTCTGCATTTTCTTTCATTTTTTTGTCATGATGACACCTGCTTTAAAGGCTTTCTTTTTTTTTTTTGTTTGAGTAATCAAGAATAATAATAGAGGTCACTGTAGTTGCATGCAACTGTGTCTTCTTGGTGACCAATGACATTATTTTGCATCATATGAAACTGTTGAATTTGCACTTTTTGAGCACTGATGCTGCTGGCCATTGTTCTCTAGTTTTGAGTTTTATTGATCATTGACATTCTCTGCAACCAATGTAGCACTGTATAAATGAACTGCATAATCAGGTAAAAGAGCCCAGAGGACGTAGGTTTATTTATTTTTTTTATATATGTATTTTTTTGTTTTTAAAGAGAAAGCAATGATCAGTAGAAATGAAAGCAAGATATCCAAAGCAAAAGTGTCTCTGTGCTTCCCAGACCAAAAATAGGAGGTATTTATTTCTTCATTTCTGCTCATTACTCTAAAGACAAGGGTCCAGTTTTGAACTAGTCACCAAGCAGGTGTAAAACTAGACAGAAAGCAAAGTGTTGTGTCATGATGTGGTTATTTGAAAATTGCATACCTGTTTCTCTTCAGCTCTACTGAACTGAACAGAGATGTACAGTATTGCTTTGTCCCATTTCTCTAAACTTACTGAATTCGTTGTCAATGAAAAAAGGTTGTTTTCTTCTGTACAATATTTTTTAGTGTTTATAACACAAGCAGTGATCGTATTATCACCAGCAAACACCACAACAGAGGTTCTGCTTATATCTGGGAGTCCAGCTCTGAGTGTACAGAAACAACAGAGGAGGACCAAGCACAAAGCYCTGAGGGACCCCAGTGCTGAAAGACTTGAGGGTTTGTACCTCCCCTGTATGAACTATCAATGGTCTGTTTGTGACACAGTTTGAGGCTGTGATACTGAAGCCAAGAGATATCACTTTTTTCAGAAATTAGAATTTAGAGAAAGATAAGACTTTAATCAAAAACCAAATCTTACAAAATGTAACTGGAAATGATGAATTGGCTTCACAAATTAACATTCTTTAAATTCTTTCTTTTGTGAAAAGGTGCTTTACAAAATCACARACCTTATTTTGCAATACTCCCACATTATTCTGAATTAAAAATTGTTGTTGAGACAGACACACAGTGACACAGTTTATTTTGGTATTCAGTAAAAATGTTCTAATCCCAGCACCTGAGGGTAAATGCTGGTACTACGGCACAGATTGCTTGAAATTCCTTTTTCTTTAAAACATAAAAAAGACAAATATTGTACCTTAAAGTCCGGGTTCTATTTCTGTAGAGTAAAAAGATTTGTTGCTCTTCTGTAATTAAAAGACAATCCGTCCTTCTTGCTGTTCCAGTGGTTGTGGAACGTGACTGTATATCACTCTGTTATATGCATTGCTGTTAAAAACTATGATAAATTGTATGTGAATGACCTCTGCCTGCAGCATCCAAACACTATTTTTGTAGTAGTATAAGAGGCAGTGACCTGCTCTTTATATGAACATGAGAAAGTATTTTGTACTTTGTTGTTAAATCACTTCACTGAGATGTGCTGTACATTTTGTACATGCAATCTGACATATTTCTCAACGTGGATCAGTGTAATCCTTAAAAAAAKATGTATCTTAAGCTTAATACAAAATGCTACAACAGTGTGGTGTTGATACCATGACTTAGAGGTAGGACACAACTTCAAAGTGTTTTGCATTTATACTGTAATCCTGTTTATAATCATTTCTGTTAGCAGGAATATAGTAATGTAGTGATTATTCTGTGAATATTTGTATGTATTTTTACTATGTATGTACAGTACACTTTTAAGGCTAATGTAGTAGGCATGCAACACCTTCACAGACAGAATAAACTATTTACTTATACTGTATACACTTATACATGCACATAATCTTATAAGGTATTTAAACAAATAAACATTTTTGCTGTTAGCAATACCCAGTGGTATGAAAATTATCTTTCAACCCTCTTGTTTCCACAACTACAGAGATATTCCCAGTTTTGTAAGAAACAAAGAAAAGAACAAAATAAAAGATATGAAGTTGAAAATGACAAATAAACAAAAAAGAAACATGTTTCCCAATTACCTCTTGCTAATAAATCCATTTTATCTCAGGAGCATTTTGTCTGAAGTGTTTTTGTAGATCCATGTAGAGCTCATTATTGTTTGGTTGTTATTGCAGTGTTCAGATGTAGCAATTACTATTGGATCTTTGAGCACCACTCATAAACAATAAATGAGCTCTACATGGTATTTTATGCATAGAAACAGCATTTTCACAAGTTCTCATAAACACTGACAGGTAGTACTAGTTTGACTGACTTAATTTTAAATAAATAATACAGAAATATTGTTAAAAGTAACAGGGTTTTACTCACTGTTGGGTTGTGGTAAGTAGTTATTGTCTTGAATTCTGAACTGGGGTAAYTTGAGTTGCTCCCACTTTCCGATAGGAAATTCCCACAGGAGTGAGTATTCCAGTTTAGATTTACAACTTGTAAGTGGGAAATTCCCACTTCCCAGTACTCCCAGAATGGGAGATGTTATGGTCAAAGCTGCTTTAAAGCAGCACATGCTCATTTGAAGACATATATCTTTGGCCCTAGCCTTCGGGCCTTGAGTTTGACACATTTAGGATCCCATTCCAAACATACAGCTGCACCTGAGTAACCAGGAGACTCAGATGTAAACACTGGACCAAAAAAAAAGCATAGCAGATCATTTAATTGGCTCTGATTGCACATTTACTTCAGAAGCGATCCATGCACGCAAACGTATCATCCATATTTACTATATTAAACTCAGCATGCTGAGCACACAGGTTGCAACAATACCATGGAGAGTTCAATTCACACTTGAGTCTGATGAAGGTCAAATTTAAAGTTTAATGTGATCAACCATGCAGAAAAATCAGATTTGAGAAAATAAAAAAATAAAAAAATTCGGAAATGAACATTAGGGTTTCAGTGTGCATGTGCTAAGATATAATTTTGAGACCGTTTCTTAGAATTATGACTTAGCATTTTTTTTCTAAAAGTGGCATAAATGGACTTCCATAATGCAGTGTCTAAAAATAAAATTACTAAACAAAGTCTGCTTTTAAGAAAATTATTAGCTGCTTTCAAAGTAACAAAGAAAGCATTTTGTTAATCATATCCCTATAAATATACGTTATTTCATATTTTATTGTAATGAAGCGGTACAAAATGAAAAAAAAAAACAATTGCCCGTTTTCTTTATTTTTGCTTTGGGTTTAGTGTTTACCCAGCAACTCATTACATGGAAAGAAATGTAGACGGTTAAGTTCCTTTGCCTCCAGTGGAAATAGTTTTGCAGGTTTTTTTTATTGGTGCAGAGTTGACACATGACGTTGCAGCTCATTGTTCACTGTCTGTCTCATCTGGCTCCACTTTAAACACGGGCTGTGGAAAAACACGAACAGAACAGAACCGATCGCAACAATGAGGTTCTGGCTCGTGTTGTGTTGTCTCGCAGCTGGATCGTCGTCGTTTTACGTGGCAGAACAAGGTAAAGCTTATATCTTTTTATTTATGCCTGCTCAGTTTCACTTTCACACTCTTTCATGGCGTCTCAAGACAAAAGATCTTTTAATAATTTAAACTATTTCCAGACGAGTTTCACTTCAAGTCATGGATGGCACAGGTCAGTATCATTATCAGTCGTGAAACTAAATTATTAATTTTCAAGTTATGCGCGGTGAAAAATCACAGCAGCTGCATACCTTTACTGTAACTGTAATGTTTGTCCCTCCTGCAGCACAACAAGGCGTACAACATGAAGGAGTACTACCTCAGACTCCAGGTATTCTCACAAAATAAGAAGAGAATTGACAAGCACAACCAAGGGAATCATTCCTTTACAAGTAAGAACACCCTTTTACATTGTGATTTTTTTATTTCTGACTCCTAATTTCTTTTCTCCCTCCCTGCAGTGGCTCTGAACCAGTTTTCTGACATGACATTCAGTGAGTTTAAGGAAGCTTTCCTCTGGTCTGAGCCTCAGGTAATGCCAAATGTTGTTACAACAAGCTGCTCACGTGGAAGTTGAGAAGTTAACATTTTTTGTGTTATAAACGATTTACCATTTATATTTTGCAGAACTGCTCTGCCACAAAGGGAAACTACTACGGCAGTAATGGACCGCTTCCAGACTCCATAGACTGGAGGAAGAAAGGGAATTACATAACACCAGTGAAGAATCAGGTGAAGTTTATAATAAAATAGGCACAATTATCTTTTTATGGAGCTCAAAGGGCTTGGATCTGTGCTGCAGAGTCAGGGGTTGGAACAGGTTCAATAAACACGCAGTAAGAAAAACTTGACCTTTTTTCTGTGTCAAAAATAAGTTTGTATTGGAGTCATAATTAAGAACTTTTTGTATTTTTTAAGCAGAAATTTTGGTTATCTATAATTTACTTGAGTAATTAGTTTTCAGCTGACATTTTACTTCTACTCCTTATATTTTCACACAATTATCTGTACTTTCTACTTCTTTTTGAAGTTCTAACCTCTCACTTTTACTCAATACTTTTACTATTATAGTATATAGTGCATTTTATGTCATAAATTGATTTTTGAAGCTTAAGGACAGTAAAAGTCAAATACTTTAAGACTTTTACTTAATATTTTTAGAGGAGACTTTAACTTTTACCAAAGTAATTTTATGTTAAGGTACTTGTACTTTTACTAAAATATCACTTTGATGTACAACAGTTTTTTTTGCACTTAGTTTAGTGAATGGAAAAACTCTCATGTCAAGAGTTGTAGTAACTGAGGTGTAACAGCTTACTGTTAAAGATTGAGGAGGGTATAAAAAGTTTTCAGTTTCCAAAGATAAGCATAGCTGGTAAAATGTCGAAATTTAACTTGAAAGTGTTTACATTTATTACATGTTTCATCTTTCCTTCTCTCACATTATTTTTTAATGTCTTATTCTGGTTTTGTTCTCTTGTTGTTTTGTTCACAGGGACGTTGTGGGAGCTGCTGGACTTTTTCCACAACAGGCTGTTTGGAATCTGTTACTGCCATCAACAAAGGGAAGCTTGTGCCACTGGTGATGTATTTTTTATTACTATTTACTTGATTATTATTTTGTACATAGATGTGACCATAATACTTGAAAAAATCTTAACCATCATCTTAAACTTTCTTTTCTTGTTTCCAGTCAGAACAACAGCTGGTGGACTGTGCGCAGGATTTCAACAACCACGGCTGCAACGGGTGAGAGCTGAAGWTGTTTCTGTCCTTCTTGTATGGTTTTCTGGTAACTTTGTGTGTTTTGGTCATACTTTTATAACAAGATCTCTCTCTGTCTTSCAGAGGTCTTCCCAGTCAAGCGTTTGAGTACGTCATGTACAACAAGGGACTAATGACAGAACAGGACTACCCTTATAAAGCTGTGGTAACTGATCTGTCACCCTAAAGCATAAACAACATATTCTCTTTATTACTTCTTGTGGTTTTCATTTGAAATTTGCTCTTTAATAGGATGGTGCTTGCAAGTATAAACCATCGCTGGCTGCTGCTTTTGTGAAGAATGTGATGAACATATCAGCGGTAAGAACCATTTCTTTAAGTAGAGGTTTTTCTGGCAGGTAGTAAAACTATTGATGTTTTTAYGTTGTTTCTCAGTATGATGAGATGGGAATGGTCGATGCTGTCGCCACGCACAATCCGGTCAGCTTAGCCTTTGAGGTGACCTCAGACTTCATGCAATACAGCCAGGGTGTATATACCAGGTGAGAGGAAGTCTTAACATTAAAAGGCTGATAAAAATGCATAAATAATGTACTTCTACAAAATGTTTCTAGCTGGATCAGTGTATTCCTGCTAGAATTTGTCTGTTTTGTTTTAATTTTTGAGAGATAAGATAAACTTGACCTTGGATGCCTGCTATTAGACATCATTATTTTATAGTTGAACATTTTATTTTGACTTGAAAGTACTAAATCACACATACAAGTTCTATGTGCGAAACACTGAAGACTTTTCTGTCTCTGTTATTTTTACGGGTCCAGTTCCTCATTCCGTGTAAAGTCAACCATGCATACAGTCACATGCTAACAGATTTTTCTTCCTTCTTTCAGTACTGCTTGTCACAACACCACAGACAAGGTAAACCATGCTGTGTTAGCTGTTGGCTATGGGGAAGAGAATGGCACCCCTTACTGGATAGTGAAGAACTCATGGGGACCCAACTGGGGCATGGATGGGTAATTATTTAATATTATTAAATGGAAAATCTTAACAAAGTTTTCTGAACCAAAAACACTAACAAAAATATGTTCTCTTCGCAGATATTTCCTTATCGAGCGTGGAAGAAACATGTGTGGACTTGCCGCTTGCTCAGCTTTTCCTGTAGTTTAATTTAAAAAAAAAAAAATCAAAATCAGTTTTGAAAATGATATTTTTTTAATGCACAATTTCTACAACGTGTGTTTCAATCATTAAGATTTTCTCAAAAGAGTACGTTTGGATTTTTACTGATATTTTTTCTACGGTTATATGATATGATAGATTTGGTCATATCAGATTTACTTTGAAGTTATAGCCAAGATGACTGTTTTCTGTGAATTTTTCGGGATCAAATGCACTTTGGTTTTGTTTCAGCTGTTTCCTTTTACAAGGTTTGYCACAGTGAGTGTGCTCGCATGAAAGATTTAGTAATTGTTTTACACTGGATGGCCTTCGTGACGCAACCTGGGCTCAAACTCCCAGCCTCCAGAATATTAGACCACAGCACAGACCACAAAGTTGCTCCAGCCCACTTGTGAACAAATGCACTAATAAAACATCAACAACAAAAATATCTGTTTGTTTATGCTTTTATTTCAGTTGCAGATTTCTACAACATGCCTTTATGGCATTAAGTGAACATATGCACGCATAATGATTGACCAGAAGAATAACATTTTTTTATTTATTTTCTACCTCACATTTATAGTTTTATAATGCGTTGCTGCAACTTTAGAAAACTAGGTTTAGTTTTTATTAACGATAACCTGAAAATTTATTAGTTACTCATTGACAATAGATTTTTTAATTACCCATTATAATGTATAACAATAAATAATAAACGTTTTTACAGAAACAATGGAATTTTGACTAATTGGTTTAGGACATATCAGATGTGTATTTTATYAGTCTTTAAAATCCCCAAATACTGTTGTGTTGAATCGAATTGAAAATATAAATAATTTGATAAGTAAATGATATATAAAATCAGCAACATTAAATATTTTTGTAACATTCAAAATACTATTGATTCCAGCGATTCTCATGAGCACATTTTTATCGTCAGACTACATTTCCCAGAATCCTCTGCTCTGTCCCGCTCAGCGTTGGCCAATAAAGAGTCGCTTTACTGAATGGGCGCAAATTTCGGTATTTATGATGGTATATGTTGGAGCTCAGCTAAATCTACTGTTGCGTTTAAAGCGTTTAGTAAAACTGTGTAAACCTAATGAACCTTTCCGCGTTACTAGTGGTGGGACAACAATGTAAACATTATTTTGTTATGCTGAGGAAACTGGCTGCAGCTTCACCAACAGGGCTCGTATAGTAAGCTAACAGTGTCGCTAGCTGGCTAGCAAACATGTCAGGTCTTCCACAAAATAATTTAAAAGAACAGCTGGCGAGGCACAACAATGCTGCTCAGAGTAAATTATCCCTGGCTAAACCCAAAACGGGGTAAGTAAAGTCAAATGATAAAATCACAGCAGWGAGCAAACCAGCTAACACTAACAGCTAGCTGTTAGCAGTGCAATCTGTTGATGAGGAGCACCTGAACTAAACTAGTCATTCTCTAATGTTATTGTTGTTGGTTTAACTGGACTACAGGAGCAAACATTTGAACACAAACATTTATTGAGAGACCTAGAGTTGTGCAATTGGAAATGTTATTTCCGCAGCTCCCTACAACCATCATGYCCTATGTTATGGATGAATCCGCACTGCCTCCGTTTGATTTCAATTTGTGGCAAAAGTTGAACTAAAAACACATTTACATGTTTGGGTACTTTGCACATGTTTACCTATTTAGAGATTTGAAGCCCTGGTGATGATATTTAGACTTCACTTGGGCCAGGAAAAAAGTCTAAATCCTTTTTTGGGCAGATTTGCATTCGCATAAAAATATGTTAGATTTGGAAAACCAAAAACCCATCATAACTGAACAACTCTGCGGTAATCAATAATACCTTGTAACACCCTTGCAAATTTGTCAGAATGCATGTTATTTTTTTTATTTTACTACAGACATACGTTAAATGACACTTTATAATTTTCCATTTGTGCTTATTATTTCCCCCCCAGAGCCTTCTCGTTCAAAAAGAAATCCACATCTGGTACAACRAAAGTGGAATACCCGAGAAAGGTAATCGGCTCAAGTGTTTTGGCCAACAGGAATGTCAATATCACTGAGAGCAGTTTGGTGACTAAACCTTCTTTGACATTTTCAAATAAGCTTGAAAGACCTCAAAAGTCCCAAATCAGCAGCTTCTTTCCTGTAAGTTCAAACTGCATGTCTGGATCCTTCAGCCCAGCAGGTAACTCGTCTTCATTGTGTCAAACACCCTCAGAAAAGACTGATAGTAAGAYGAGTCCAGCTCCAAATAAACCTGAAAGTCAAGCTTGTTGTGGCAGCCGGATTGATTCTTCAAGTTTGGATGCGTCGGGATTCCCGATCGATGACTGGGATGATCTTGASGACTTTGAAACACCTGTCCGAATAAAAAATGACTCTTTCAGTTCAGACAAATCAGCGAAGATCGCCAAACTGTCATCTTCTGATGAAGAATTCCCAAAATTCACAGGGAAACAATACCCAGATGCTTGTCTTGAGAAATCCGAATTAAACAATGGGAATAATGCCCAGACATGTGTGGAGACKGATAAAATGGAAAAAGATGTTGATGAGAAAACAGTTTCACCAGGACTTGATGTGTTTCAAGACCMAGCAGAGATTGAAGTTGAGGTTTCTCCTCTCAGAAGACCCAGAAGACGATGTCCTCCTCCGCTTGTAACATCTGTCTTAAGTGACAGCGATGAGGATCCTGTTGACGTGTCTAAACCATTGGAGGATAAGACAAGTAAGTGACTATCTGKTTTATTCTGTTTGAATTGATGTTTTTGCTAAAATTGAGCACYATGTGCCCAAATTCATTTATAGCTTTTCCTTTTATTCAAGGTTGGCACTCAACTTTTGGTATTTTACACTTGCTTTTWATTGACTTTGTTAATATACAAAAGTATATATAAATTTGTTTTATTGGTAGTTTACACTGTTACAGTGAAATGTTTTCAGCGTGCAATGTTAATGACTGCAGAGCTCTGCTGAAACATGGGTAGATACTGTTTAGACTAAGTGTATTCCAACTAAACAGAGGTAGGCATAAATATATACCACAATGCATTGCAAAATACTGATTTTGAGCATGTTCATTAGTAACTGTGAAACGGTCAGTATAGGGAAACTGTTGGGGGAAAGTATATAAAAATTCACAGCTGAATTRTGACATTTTGTGTTACCTCGCAGATAAAAATAAAAAAATGATTGATCCAAAGGWAATGGAACTTAATGCCAACCCAGAGACTGATGAAGATCTTGATTACATTCCTCCTTCACCTATTTCTGAGAAGACGCCTCACACAATGTCTGAAGTGGATAAAAGGTTGGTATCTTTAGTTTATGGTTCTCTTCTGTAACAACTTGTTTTTTTATGTGGTTTACAATGTACTCAATGCGAATATTTCATTGATTAAGATCGGGAGTTAGCGTGCGTTGTTTAAGTGTTCTCTTTATTTTTTTGAGCAGTAGTGTTCCCTTTATTTTTTTGAGCAGTGTGTCTGTGAAATTAAAGTAATATTACAGGAACYATCATTGTTTCTCTTTCAAGCAGAGATAAATTGGGGAATTCACAGAGTACAGACATTCTTGTCCCGTCAAAGAGTCCTGCCAGAGCTTTTTCTGAGCCTACTGATCACCAAGCGAAAGACAAAACAAGTGAGTGTTGTTTTTATTTATTTGTATGTCTTATCATGCTTGCTCCGGGCCTTTATTTTTTAAATTAAGGCATTAATTAATGTATCGGTAATTTTTTTTCTTCTCATATTTCTTTTACTTTTTTTCTGTTACTGTTGTAGAGGAACAACTCTTCAGTTTAATGGAGTCCATTTGTGCTCTTGTTGATTCCATCCCTGAACATGAACTGATCGCTTTGTCCTGCGGGGATGAACTTTTGCTGAAGAGGGCCCAAAGGTGTGTTCATGTGTGTCRGTGTAACTTTAGTTTTCTCGGGTTTAATGGTTTAGCAAAATGACTGCAATCATTGTGTTTCTSTCTTTCAGGAAAAGGATTCTTGCTTCAGGTTGTGACTTTTTGTTGAAAATGCAGCAGCCGGACAGCACCGTGACTTCTGATCCCAACTTTAAAGMAATGTCTTCAAGCTGTGGTGCATCTAGTTTTCTGTCTTCCAACAACTCCGTGTCTGCAGACTACAAGAAGCCTSTGCAGTCAAGAAGATCCTCAGTCATCACTGTGGACTCCGATTGTTCTTTTAATACTGATTTAAAGCCCGTGTACAATAAGGACAGCAGTATATTCTGTATGGAAAATGAGAGTAATTGTGACTCTCCATCTGCCTACAGCATCACAAAACCACCTTTCAGTCCGTTTGAGGAAACTAGTTTAGATGTTAATGATGTTGATGTCTCCTTCTCACCGAAAAAGACTGAGGCTGTTTTGCAGAACAAATCCAGAAACCCAGTTCCTGCAGCTGSAGCTGAGGCTGAAGCAGATGACTTTTACATTGATGATTTTGACATAGACGACTTTAACGATTCTGATATCCCAGATTATTTTGATGAACCCTCAGTTTCATCAGTTTCAAGACAAAACGTCAGCACCGTGTCTACCACAGTTAAAGAAGGCGGACCAAGGAAGTCATCATGGGAGAAGGAACCAGTGACGCCTGTGTCTGCCCYGAAACCATCAAAGATTTATTCACCAGGTAAGTYAAAAAAAAAAAAAACTTTAAGCATTGCAGAACAGGAACTTGTCACCACTAGAAGACAATATATATAGGTATTTTGTATTTGCGTATTTTTATTTTATTTTTGTTTTTTATTTCTTTCTACGTCAGCAGGGTGTCATTCTATAAATGCWAGGGTACAATAGGATTGGTAAATAGTCCTTTATATGCAGGACAAACCAAAATACACATTGCCCAATGTTAAGAAAATATTTTTTTGTTTTATTTTGCAGAACCCAACTTCAAAAACCCAGCTCACGATCGCTTCAGAGGTTTCAACTTCCCCTATTCTCAGGAGATGATGAAGATTTTTCATAAACGTTTTGGACTTCATCAGTTTAGGTTTAATCAACTCGAAGCGATCAATGCTGCTCTTCTGGGAGAAGATACGTTTGTTTTGATGCCCACAGGTTGGTCATTAAAGTAAATCTGTTTCTGTTTGGATGAACATTTGAAGGCCGTGTTACAGATAATTYATTTTGTTTAATGGATTTTGCCTGTCAGCAGGTTGGAATGTGCTGAATCCTTAAGAGGTCTTTTTAAAATCCAAAATTCTTTGTCAATGATCCTAATGACAACAAAAAATGTCTGCTTCCCTAAAGTTGCTCTAAAATATTTGATATTGTCAGTCTTTTAAAACTACTTCAGTCCACAAWATTTATAGCAAAAATACTGAGAATATTTGAGCTTTTTAACCATTTAAAGACCAGTTTGCTCCTTTCAACTAAAGTTTTTTTTAATGAGGGGTAACATAAACTTTGAATATTTTTTATGAAATACATTTCAATGAATGATATTTAATATTATAATAATGTAACTCTGTTACCTCTCAAATGTGTGTATTTTCCAGGTGGAGGTAAAAGTTTGTGCTACCAGCTGCCTGCCTGTCTCTCACCTGGAGTCACTGTTGTCATTTCCCCTCTTAAATCACTAATTGTGGACCAGATCCAGAAACTCACCACCCTCGATGTAAGTGTTTGTTCACAGACGATTTTACATATGTGGTACTGTTCAGAAGACATTTTGATGACKTGTACTTTTTCTAGATTTTGTCCTCAAAAAAAATGTCCCTCAAATTTAAAAAATCAGGTACATTATTATTGTCCCACATTTCAGATTCCAGCGACCAGCCTGTCAGGTGATAAAAGTGACAGTGAAGCAGGGAGGATTTACATGCAGCTTTCCAGGAAAGACCCCATCATCAAACTGCTGTATGTCACACCTGAGAAGGTACGTTTGGGTGGTTTGTGAATAAACTGAGAACTTTGAGTGTTTTATTGGTTTAGCTAACTCTATAAGTAACTAAGATTTTTTTTCATGACTCAAATCTGATTTTTCCCTCAAGGTGAGTGCAAGCAACAGGTTGATCTCAGCCTTGCAGAACCTGTTTGAGCGAGGTCTTCTGGCCCGCTTCGTCATAGATGAGGCACATTGTGTCAGCCAGGTGTGTTACTTTGCTTAATTTATAACACAGTTTGTGACATGCTTTTATTTTTTAGGATAGATTTTGTGAATCATCCCATCCCTCATATTTATTATTATAATTATTATTATTTATTTTTTAAGTGGGGCCACGATTTCCGTCCAGACTACAAGAAGTTGCATGAACTGCGTCAGAAGTTTCCCAATGTGCCGATGATGGCGCTGACGGCCACGGCCACCCCCCGTGTGCAAAAAGACATCCTCAACCAGCTAAATATGACTCGGCCACAAGTGTAAGGCTTCACTTGTTCCTACATACTGACCTCAGAAAGCCACCGGTATCAGGACATTAATATTATTATTGTTTATTATTATTCATTTTTTTAATGTGTTCAGATTTACCATGAGCTTCAACAGAGTGAACCTGAAGTACTCTGTGCTCCCCAAGAAACCCAAAAAGGTTGATGAGGACTGCATGATCTGGATAAAGAAGCACTACCCCCGTAAGTGTTTCAGTAGTTTTCTGATGCTTTCTATGTATTCTAATTTATATAAAGCACTGTTGTAACTACCTGAAGGTGTGAGATGTCTGAAAAACGATAGCATAAAGAACTTGAGGTCAAACAGTTTAAATAGAAGATTAAAATTAAAACGATGTTGGATAACTGATTTAAGTTCGAAGTATAGTACTTAGAAAATGAGTTGTGAATATTCTCAGTGGTAGCTATTTATCAGAGATGTAGTGTTTGTAAATAAATTTTTTTGTATCTGACAGGTGACTCTGGCATTGTTTACTGCCTGTCTCGTAATGACTGTGATGCCATGGCTGAGAGTCTGCAGAGGGCTGGAATCCTGGCTCTGTCGTATCACGCTGGACTGAGCGATGGACAAAGAGAAAATGTTCAGAGCAAATGGATCAATCAAGATGGCTGCCAGGTAGAGCTGCCACAAACGATTATTTTTATAATCGATTAATCAGATTTTTTTTTCGATTAGTCGACTAATCAGATCATACGTTAATTGAATATAAAACATAGAGCTTATCGTGCCAGAATGCAGCTGCTATTATATAACCATTGTTAAATTTTAGCTAAATGCTAACTAAAAATAATTGCTGTGGAAGGCAGGTTCTGCTCTGCAGATATTGTACAAGTTTCTCTTTCATTTTCTTAAAATGATCCCACACTTTTGAGCTCCGTTGTCAGGTAGCCATGATACCAGAGCCTGTCTGTATAATGTCTTGTGACGTCCACGGCCTACCCCAGTTACCACTACTGTGCATGTGTGTCAAGGACAGAAAGGCAGATGTGGCAGTGGAAGGTGTCAAAGCAGTTTGGAGAGAAAAACAAAGTAAAGAACAAAAAAAAAGAAAACGATTAATCGATTATTAAATTAGTCATCGATTATTGTAATAATCGATTAGTCGTCGATTAATCGATTAATCGTGGCAGCCCTACTGCCAGGTCAGGTCAACCAGCTGGTCCTGGATGTTTGATACAAAACGTGGCGCAGTTTAAGATTGCTTATTGTTTTTGTTTTGTTTTCCAGGTGATCTGTGCCACTATAGCCTTCGGCATGGGTATTGACAAGCCTGACGTGCGCTACGTGATCCACGCCAGTCTGCCTAAATCTATGGAGGGTTATTATCAGGAGTCAGGAAGAGCCGGCAGAGATGGAGAGATCTCTCACTGCGTTCTGTTTTATTCTTACACTGACGTCCACCGCATTAAGAGGATCATCAGCAGTATGTGATTAAATWATGAACACTTATAGTTGCATCCAAAATCACTGTGAAGTAATCATTTTAAGAATGTGGAAAATCTCCATTATGTTTGTTTATTTTTGTGGTGGCAGTGGACAGAGAGGGTGACAAGCACACCAAGGCTACTCATTACAACAACCTGCACAGCATGGTGCACTTCTGTGAGAACGTGATGGAGTGCAGAAGAATTCAGCTGCTGGCCTACTTTGGGGAGCTGAAGTTCAACAAAAACTTCTGTAAAGAACATCCGGATGTCAGCTGTGACAACTGTGCCAAACCCAACGTAGGGCTTTGTTTTTCATCTGTTAATCATGTCCGTTAAAGCATCAAGTTAACACCAATCGTTTGTTGTTGACACAGCAATACAAGATGAGGAACGTGACTGAAGACGTGAAGAAAATCGTGAGGTTTGTCCAGGAGAACTGTGAGAAAGTTGGAGCCAGGTTCGGCAAGACGACTCAGCAGAACCGACTGACGCTGAACATGCTGGTGGACATCTTTATAGGTACACACACCTGCTTTCATCTTTTCAACAACTGAGCTGCTGTTTGTGTTTTTTTTTATTTTTATTAACAGCTGAAAATGTTCTCATTCGGTCAGGATCTAAATCTGCCAAGGTACAAACAGGCATGTTTGGGATTGGAGCAGCCTACTCTCGCCACAATGCGGATCGTCTCTTTAAAAAACTGGTCATTGATAACGTCCTGGTTGAGGACCTCTACATCACTAACAACAACCAGGCTGTGTCTTACATCTCCGCCGGACCGAAAGCCATGAACATACTGTCTGGGTACATGCAGGTAACGACGACACATCACGTTCACAGAGGAGTGTATACATGGTTCTCATTGACTACTTCATCCGCACTTTTTTTTTTTAACCGGCTGTGCCATGTTTGTGAGCTAGCATTTAGCTTACTGCTAGGAAACCAGAATGAAGGATCCACAAAAGCTAGCTACATAAATGGAAACGAAAAGTCAAGCGTACAGTAACGGTTTTAATGACGGGGGAGCAGTATGGTTTCTAATGCCACAGAAGTGGATTGCTACGTTGCCTTTTCTAGGTCCTAGTCACTTATTCTTGTCATCTGAATGTGGTGAGGCAAAAAGGCAACAAAAAGAAGAAAAACTCAGCTGGCTCTAAATGTCTGATGCTTAGCATGGCAGGGGTGCAAGTAAGAAGTGGTTGGCCGGGCTATAATACATCAGAGGAAACCCTGGTACTGCTATGTAAACAATTGCAAATAAGGTGATTCGAACATGTAATCCGCAAGTCATTACGTCACTTGAGGACATGCAGATTTTTACAAGATTTACAAGATTAATAAACACATGCA